ACCAGGCAGCTGAGCACCAGCTTCAAGGGAATTGGGAGGGTGTCCACCAGTGCTGTGGCAGCAGATGGGTCTAGAGGAGTGAAGGACCCCATGCGAAGTTGCTAGCGATGAAGACTCTCCCACAAATCCTCCCCCTTTTAAAGCACAAGATATGTGGGCCAGTGAGTTGTGAAGGGCTCACGGTGACCTGCTGGTGGTGGCTCTGGTTCAGAGGTGGCTGCTCTGGGTACCAGCAAAAGATGCTCAACTAGCATTTGGCAGTCCTGTTACTCAGGGGTGAAAATGCCCATGGCACTGTGCACACCCAGAATCATCTCAACAACATATGGGGACTGAGGTTGTCTCTTTGCACAGGGAGAAGAACTAGAGCCCCTACAACCCTTTCCAAGCTCACTTGGCAGCAAAGGGAATGGAGAACTATGTCACAAAGGCTTAGAGTCTGGGGACATCCTCCCAGGCTGAAGTACCTCTGAACTTGTGACACCTCCCGTGCTCCACACTAAAGGAGGGTGGGTGGGATTATGGCTCAGCACAAAGAAGTCCTTACCCCATACTGTGACAAACTGCTGCTGTCTTCACAATCTGCATCAGCCTCCTGCTCACTGCCATCCCCACTGCTCACATCAGCTTCTGGCTTCTGGGCATCACCACTATCAACATCTGGAGCATCTTCCCCACTGCTGGACCCAGCTGGATCCTGTGGTCCCAGCTCCGTGCTTGCGGCCAGCAGCTCTGGGGTATCACTAACCCCAGCAGGGTGTATGTCCCCCACCTGCGGAGACAGGGACATGGTCAGACTGCAGTTTGTGGAAGGGCAGCACAAGACCCATGAGTGATCTCATGAAATTCAGAGTAGTCTGAGTAACCCCAGACACCTCTCCTTCTGTGGCCAAGGGAAGGAGGACTGAAGTACATCCTTCCAGCCCAGCATTTGCAAGCGTGCCCAGGACCAAGTCTGCAGCCAGCACGGGACAGGCCCACTCACCTGGAGCTCTGATGGCTCCTTCAGCATAATGGTCCTATCCTGCTCTTCAAGCTCCAGGTCTGCCTCAGTGTCATTTTGGGACTTGTACTCCTCACTATCCGTTTCCACGTCTGAGGGCTGGGGAGGAAAGAGGCAGTCTGAGGAAGGACACACCAGCCCCATTCCTGATGGGACTGGCAACCACAGCCAACCAACCAAGGGTGACAGAGATGCCGCTTTGCAGGGACAGCAACCAAAGGGAAACTTCAGTGTTATGGGAGGAGTGGAGCACCTGCACCTTTCATCACTGATGATGTGATGTTCAAGTGCTCTTTGGACAGCCTGCAGCCCTCAAAGGGTGTACAACAAAGGAAACCTCTTCACAGCTCCCTGCACAGGCTCCTCTGCAGTGACACTCCCAGTCTACCAGGAGCACAGAGGCTAAACGCAGTCACCTCCAAATTGCTCGGCCCCCGAGGAACCAATCTGCTCAGCAGGCAGAACATCATACCTCATATGTGAGGTCTTCAGAGTCATCCTCTGGCAGGTCCCTCTCCAGTACCACCAACCAGGACTCCTGCTCCTCCAGAGCTACATCATCCCGCTTCCTCTTGTTTGCTTTGTTAGATGGGTTGATCAGAGCTTCTCGGATCTCTGCAGGGATTCACAGGAGGCACACTCACAACCCATACAGAATGAACGCATACATCTATGTGTTTCCCAGCTTTCTGCCCAGCACAGGAGCTCCAGACCTAGCGTGTTTTGATGTCATGCTGTGTGCTTCTTAGCTGCAAAGCCTCCAGGTGTTCCAGGAAGCCACAGCTCTTACCCTTGGGCATGTTGCTCTGGCCCCAGTCTGCTGGCAGGTAGCCCAGGATATTCTGGATCCTGGTGGGGATGATGGAGAGGAGGAGGCTCGTTAGTCTCCCCCTGCGCTTCTTGGCAAGTCGTCCGGGCCTGGTAGGAGACTGGGTGGGGTAGACTTTGCTGATAATGGTCTCCACAGGGACCACAAATCCAATCCAGACTGATGCTTTCTGAAGGATCTTCAGCTGCCAGCAAGAGAGAGCTACATTAGGTCATGTGAGAACTTCCAGCTATTTAAAGTCCTCAGTGAAACCCTTAAACCCTGTTCTGTCCCAGTGTGGTGCTGAGATTGGGACCAACTTCAGCCAGGTAAAACAGAACCAGATAGACTGTACCTTGTCCCCAAAGACCTCCCATCTCTCCTGGCCCAGGGAAGGACAAACATGAATGCTGCAACAACCATTAGCAGAAGGGGAGCAAGGCAAGACCAAACCAGGCAAAGGACAAAAGCTGGGATGGGGAGAAAAGCAGAGGACAAGCACACACTGAGGGAAGAGACTGAAAGAGCAGAGAGGATGATCTGGCAGAGAAACCAAAGGAACTGCCAGTCTCAACAGCCTCAAGCTCCTCCAGCAGCAGGAACATCACCTACCAGGTACTTGACAAAACTCAGCTGAAGGATCCGGCACAGGAACCTGCTAGAGAAGGAGTCGGGCTCCTTGCAGGTAGCCAGCCTCACCTAGACAGAGAGAGAAAGGTCAGACATCCTCCATGCCAGTGCTGACAGCACCTGCAGCAAAACCAACCCCTTTAGCACCTGGAGGATCTCTACCTGCTCTGGGCTGCTGTGTGGCCTTAGTTGCTGCTCCATGAAGCCCAAGAGCCTGAACTGGACAAAAACCTGGCTTAGCCCAGCCTGCAGCCCTCAAGCTACTTATAGCTACTGGCCCAGCTGCTCCTCATTGCACTGACGAGCTGCCGGCCTCACTAACTGGTGGGGCAGCCCAAAGCCCTCCCATGGGGGTTCCCCTGGTATGAGCACTGGTCCTGGTGCCTTGCTCAAGGGCTGATGGCTCTCAATTAGGAGTTTATTTTCTCTCGGTTTGGGATGCCTGTCCCCTCCCGGGGATTGTATCTTGCCAAGCCAAGACTCTGATTTGGGATATCTCCTCTCACTCTGTGCTGATGCAAATAGCTGAAGGCAGAGGGTGACGAGATGCCAGAAAACTTGCCCTGCTGAGCCCCCCCAGTGATAGGAGAAACTGGACCCCAGATGAGGGGAGACCCCTCAGCATCCCTCCCGGTCCATGCTCTCCCCTTGCTCCCGCACTGGGGGGAAGCTGGGGCTGGGATATGTTTTAGTCAATAAAGATGAAAGGAAGGGAGTAAGCCTGGTTCTTTGAAACCGTAGCCTGATTCAATTAGCCAGCAGTTCTGCGTGCACATGAATGCACGTGCACGCACGCTACCCTTCATAAAATGTGCTTATCGGAGTCCCCAGAAGCACCTTCCAGAAGCTGCTTCGCAGCAGATCCTCTCAGCCCCTGCTCTGGGCACTCTCTGAGGTTTTAACTTCGTGCAGACCTTACAGCTGAAGGCTGCGCTGGGCATCATGTGGACAACAGACCTGCTGACCCCCGTGTGTAGCTCAGCGTTGATCCTCCCCCCGGCTCTGCGCTTCACCAAGCTGGGCACTGTGACATGCAGACAGGCTGGGGTCCTGTCGCTGACCGATTCAGGCCTCATGACTGTTAGGAGGGATTTTTAGCTGTTATTTCTACCAAGCAGGTGGTTTTGGAGTGGGGAAGGGCATTTAGTGCGTTTACCCCGTTGCAAGGTGAGAGACACCCTGCTGCAAACGCTGGCGAGGCCCGGGGAGCGGGCATAGTGCGTGGGCATGCCCA